CCCGCGCGGTTTGATCGACGAGAATTAGCGAACGGGCACGATGGTGACAAATGCATCGTCTACGTGGGCGTCTGTGGTTCAATTAAAAATACAGTCGGTGACCCATTTCCAGTATTTTTAAGCGACGACGGAAATATTCGGTGGATCATCGTGTCTTAATTAATCGCGCGAACACCGATTGAAAAGTGGGTCGGTACACGTCGTGCTGGTCGTCCGGCAAACTGGAAAAAGTGAGCCGTCTTAAACGCAAATTTTGTACTCGTTTTAATAACTATCGTTCGATTTCCAACGTGTATTTCCGTTGAAATATTTTAAGCGCCTCGCCGAGGGCAAACAATGCACCAGCACATTTGTTCGAAGTAGTGAAAATGCTAGGATCATCCATGATAGATAGCGTCGTTCTAAAATAAGTGCTCTCGAGTTAAATTGGAGTCGTTAGTGTATGGCGCGGTGGTTTTAGGTGCGCCGAACGCGTAGTAGTGGAAGGCGACGTAGTCGCAGCCGGTTGCAGTAGTGCGAGCGCAGCGATAGTTAACCGTAGTTGCAGTGGAATAGTATCGGAATAGACGCGCACTAGGCCGCGCTGCAAGTAGTGTGTATCTATTACTAGGCAGACAGGGAGACGTGTCGCGCGCCCGGCCTTTTCCAGCGTTCACTCGATGCTTTATTGGTTCCTCTTGTTTCTTCACTATATTTTTTTTTCTATAAAATCTTTAACACCTCGTAAAAATTTATTGAGTGCCTTGCGTACGAACGTTTATTTCGATGACGCTTATGAAACAATCGGCCGGTGACTAATCCGTAGGTGATATCAAGTAGCTATTTTCGTTATTTTCACAATTCTTATGTAAACAGGTCAGCTAAAAAGATCGTATACGGAGTCGTTAGTCTTCTGGGTACTTGTGAGTTCTAGAGCCGCAGCGTTCGGTTTTGTTTGAAGTAGAGTCGGAGATCGCGGGAAGGAAATTGACCGAGCAATTCTCACCTGACACGGCGATGGCATCGTCTGTTCCTAACACATTCCCACGTTTCACGGTGTATTGGCCGCCACGACTATACCGATGAAAAGAAATAATTGGTTGTTTGGCTGCCGGCGGATTAGCCTGTTCGAGGTCAACGGCCACCAAATGTTTGCGAATGCAGTAGGAGGGAGGGAAAAGGGTACCGGTTCGAACGAAACACACTAGCGAGGGACCGAGGGATGAGGAGGAACGGAGGTGATGGGAAGGAGAGAATCGGTGGAAGGGGAGGAGAAAGGAAAAAGGTGGTGAGGGCACGTACGATGCAGTCACTGAGTGAAGGAGAGAGAAAGAGAGCAGAGGAGGACTCAGACCCCGCATATTCTTGCCCTGCTGCCTCTGTCTCACCCCCCACGAAAGCCTCGCGTGTGTAGAGTGCATTTAGGACGCATGTACGGTCGCGCCTAAAGAGGATGATATTCTTTATCGCTGCAGTTTCTGTCTATTGGGACGAATTCATGCGGCGGTTGTTGGCAAGCGCGTTAACTGGCAGGTGCGCCGGGTTAATGAGCACAACCGGGGTTCAAAACTGCCGAAAAGGGCGCTTTTGAGGCTTCCTCGGTGTACCAGGCACCGCGAGTACGAACAAACCGTGTCTTCCTTTCTCTCGATTCTTTTTCGGTTCCCTTAATTTTCATTAATTGGTTCAACGATGCTGGGTTAATCGTGGGATATTGAAATCCGCGTTTGCGTCCGATAATCGTCGACTAAATCTCCGCGACAAAACGAACCATTTAAAAGGAACGTGAAGTAGTCGTCTTCTTATTCTTCTTCTATTGGAGCAAGGATATTGGAGAACAGATTCTGAGCAACTCCGATCGTAAATATTTAGTGCCTCGGCTTTCTGTACAAAGGATTAGGTTTTCTTTTGATAATAATTTGAAACGCAACGAATAGAAAAGTCTCTTGATCTGACGATTATAAGAATATTTTTCTCTCGTCTAACGATATCTAGGATGGACGAAAAGAAGACATCGTAATTTCATAGGTTTTCTTATTTATTTAAACGTTGTACGTAAAGCAGAGGGCGAGACGTTGAAGGAGCAGACGCATGATGTAGTATGGTGGGAATTAGTACGTACTAATATGCGTGAGTGAACTGGAAAGAAACCGTGAAATGGTACAAGTGCTTGCTAGGAGTGTCTCGGTGCAGGATTCCGTGAGACATAGTTTTGAACGAGAAACAGTGACACAGATCACTATGTGGCATGCCCAGTTTCCTATTTGGAGCCGAGGAAACGTCGATTTCTGAATTTAGTTATTTTCACGGTGCAGAGGTTTTGACCTAATTAAATATCGGGTCGCACATCCTTTGTGTATTTCAAGACATCTAACTCGAGAGTCTCGGGACGGCATAAATAAACGCAGGGATTCGACCGATTCGCGCGCGTGGGAAACGAATTTCTTATTTCAGAAACCGTTTCCAAATTCGCGCACCTGCAAGGTTACGGGCCGTTCGGACCCGTGAGACAAAGAGGAGAGGAAAGGATCGTGTATCACGCGATCGAATCTAGCGCAGGTGGAGCTGCGAAAGAACCGTGTGTACGAGTCCACGAAGGACCGGTCGAAACATCTGCATTTTCCCCTACACGCGCGGCTTTGGCCAAGCGCTACATCCGACCTCGCGTTCATTTACGCTCCTCGTTATTATGCATTATCCTCGAGCCGTATTTACCGCAATTCAACGTTTAAACGCGACGACGCTCTCCTTCCCGCGAGCTGGCTAAGCGCATCACGCATTCGTTAACACGCGCGCGGTCCCTCGGCTTCTCCTCTTCGCGCCTATTCTTTTTTTTTTTTTTAACTCTGAGTCTCGATTTTGTAAACGCGAAGGTCTGCCCGCGGAGCAGACAAGCGGTGCGCCGCATCCTGAATATGCACGTTCAAGGGCAACTGACTCATAGACTCTTGGTGTGGCGTATTCCATAGGAAACGACGTTCAATGTATCGTTCACCGATAGATTGGGGAGGGGATGAAAAAGCCGAGTCACTGTTTCTGTTTCAATGGCGCATCGTCGAATCGGAATAGAGACGACGCAGTTCAGGAAGCTCCTTTTCTGTGTCAATTGGTCTTTAAAAAAAAAAAGAAAAGAAAAAAAAATAGAATAAGCTAGTTTGTACTCATCCCCCTTTTATACGGCGGTATGCTTTAATCAGGGAAATAAACTGGGAAACGTGATTCATCGCGCGAATAGTGGATCCTTTTTTTCCGAACAACTGCACGCAATAGAAAACAAGTTCGTTTTATTTACGTGTATTTTATACAATCGCTGTAAAGAGATTAACGTATAACGGTGTTAACGCATATTTTCCCCGATTTCGCTTTTTTTCCGCGAGCGATAGAAATCGTTGATCGAATAACGCTTCCTTTTTGTGGACGAAATTTATTTCGTGATTAGTAGAGCTGCATCTGGCTCACGGCTATTTACCGTGAATTATTCGACCAAGGTCAGTGGAACGTTCCTCCGGCGGTCGGCGCGGACCGGAGAAGAAAACCGGGAGAGGAATCGGGAAAACGGGCTCTGTCAGCTAGCTCTCGGAAACATTTCTAGGCAATGTAGTCGAAGTATAGGTGCCACAGCCCTCAGCTTTGGCTCCTAGGAATCCAATCAATAAATATTACAATGGAACCCCTAGAGAAGTAGGGGAGCGTATCCTCCTCTTTCGCCCGGCTCTGTCGTCCTCCTCCGTCGTCCCCTCTCGCTTCTGGTCCTCCTCTTTCTGTCGTGTCGGTGGAAAAAGGATCTGTTATACGTCGCGTCGCGCTCTTACAGTCGTCGTGTTCCTCGTCCTCGTTCGCCTCGTCCTCGACTACATCCGCGAAACTTTGTCTCCCTCTTTCTCCTACTATCTATCCGTCACTCTTTTTCGTCTCCTCGCTCCTCTCTCACTCTCGCTTTCTCTCGCTCCATAGTACGCTTTTTCCCTCAGCTTACCCACCTCTTTTTCAGTCTGTCTTTCTCGCCGTGGCCCCTCCGCCCTTTTCGCCCGGTTCCTCACGCCCCTCGCCCTTCTTCCTAAGCCCGTACCAACTCCCATTCGACCCCGCGGCACCCCGCCGCATCCCTCTCATCCAGCGGCGTTTACATTTTACTTTTCTAGTAGCGAATTAAAACCGCGTTCATGCGCAGCCCGCGGAAGGGCGTAATGATTTTTTGAGGGGCGAATCGAGTGGGGTCGCCTACAGCAACGGCGGAGGGGGTAGTAGCTGCGGGCGCGAGCTTAGCAGGAGCAGGATGGCAGGAGGGATCGCGAGACAGGCCGGCTGTCGAATAGATGGATGGCTAGACTCTCTCCCTGTTTCGACGGCGGGGGCATCGTCGTTCCTCGTTAAAATATCATACGTATCGGTGAACGTGGTTACACGTGCATCGAGAATTCGATAAGACAGGTTTATTCTCAACCAGCAACGATAATAAGGGGGATCGTACGAGAGTAGGCGGCAAGTCGAACCTGACCGAAGCTCTCTTATCGATGATCGGCGTGAGTTTCGGTTCAGTCGTAATGTACGTAAATCTTGCCGGAGACTGTGACCATGATCACGGGTATTGGACATACGAATCGGAACTGGATGATCGGGGTGGCAATCTATCTGCGATAATCCGAAGTACGCGAGCCACGCGAATCGGAGCTGGTAGAGCGGTGGCGCCTTTAAAATTCCAGCTCCACCGCTTTTAATTGGAAGTCGTTAGCTTTGCGCATTTTCGTCTCGTGGGCTAACGGGTGAAGAAGGGTGGGCCCGTAGGGAAGAGAGAGGTAGACTCAGAGGGGGAGTGCGGCGCGAAGAGAGATAGCGAGGGAGAAAAAGAGAGAGAGAGAGTGAAAGAGAGGAGAGACGAAAGAAGAAGAGAAGAGAAAAGAGGCGGGCTGGGCAAGGGTGTAGCGGGGTAAAAGAGGAGACGCGGCCACAGGCATAAAGCTCCCCACCAACGGCGGGCGGCATCGGGCTCTCTTTTCTTCATTGCTCTCTCCTCTCTCCTTCCTCTACTCTTTCTCGCTCTCTCCTTCTGCGTACGCACTATTTTTTAGTCCGCACTTATTACGACAGATGTCTCATGCTCCGATAAAGAATAACGGCGGCCGGCGGGTACTGTTCCCCCCCGCATGCTAGTCCTAACCAGGCTCGGGAGCTGCAGCCTGTACTCTCGCTGCTGCTCGGTTCGTGGTGTCGTTCGTGGTGACACGACGCGACACACGACACGGACACGATACGACACGTTACTTCGCCTTGCGCACACCTTACATTTTCTTTTATTTCCGTCTGTCACAGTTCCTTCTCTGTTGCACACCACCCTTAAACACGAGGGGTTCCACCTCCCTTCCCCGGAACGTACTCGCGGAACGTGTTGCACCACAGTGACTTCGTCTCGGGACGTGTCAGCGGTTGGTGCGGTGACTCCTATCATCCGCGAGTCCACGCGCTACGATACACGCTCTATTCGCTTCGAGCGGGCGGTGGTAGTAGTGGTGGTTGATGCTGGCCGGTAGTGGTGGTGGTGGTAGTAGTGTCTCGGTGGAACGGAGCGGCGAGAGAAGCTTCGCATTCCGGAGTGAAACGCGCGGCAATTTGCGTAACGGTGGCTGCTTGCATCCCGAACAGAGAAACACGTGGCTAGGTGGGTCGTGCGTGCGACAGACCGGTTCGAAACTCCCGCGCGTTGCCACGAGATCCGCAGCCGTCTCTCGACGACCACGTTCGCCGGTGTTTTCGTATTTCGCGGGAATGACCTACGGTCGCACGAAGCAACTGTGTCGAGCTGAGACATCATGACGAATTAAAAGAGCCAGTTGAGCAACCGTTCTTCTTTACGTTCTTTTATTTATCTCTATCTTTGGCTCGAGGCGCGCGTACTGTGCCACTGCCTGAGCGTTGCATCGTCAACCAAAGTCTCAGACTTCTCCCCTCGTGTCTTCCGCTGTCTGCAGGCCTATCCTCTCGCGGAAACCTTATTCTCTCCTCTCGTCGTCGCAGATCGAACGCGAATACAAGTGTGTAACGCGACGCGTAGGAACGAAGTTAGTCTTTTAGGGTAATTACGTGCTGCTGTCACTGTCAGCTTCGACGCGTGATAACACGGGGATCTCGCGACCGCATCTGCGAGAGCGAACGTGCGAAAAAGCGGCGCAGCCTGCGCTCGAAGGATGCGCTTCTGAACCGCGAGACTCGAAGAGGGGCAGGAGGAACGGAGCGCACGTGTGCGACGTGTCTGACACGACAGGTGCCACAAGGTAAACCTCGTTACCTTTTCGAAAGATTGTGACACGCGTGCACCTCTTCCGTTTCCCAGAACCGCAAGGAAATCCGTTTCTCCAGAGGTACAGGCGGTGGTAAAAATTCCAGACGCGTCCTCCACGATTCCCGACGAAATCTGCTCGCCGTCTCCCCATCTTTCTTTTTCTCCGCTCATTCCCCCTTTCTCTCTTTTTTCCTCTCCGTCTTCTTGTCCCTCTCTGCCATCAGTGTCACTGTCCATCCGCCCGCGTATGTATGCCTGTCCGTATGCGTCTTGTCTTTGTGTTTCCCTGTGTATGTCTCTCGGTGTCTCTCTCTGTCAGACGATACCTCCTTCTCTCTCCTGTCGGTCGTTCTCGCTCGTCGTACCGGCGATCGCCGGCTTTTCGTACGTTTTCGTGCGGCCTCGCTACCGCGCCGCGACGTACGCCCGCGTCGACGAAGGCACACAGCTGCACAGTCGTGACGTGACGTTTCGGGGGTTAGTTCGCACGGTATGTGACGGAGAAAGAGGCCACCGGTAGACTGCTGCTCCAACGTGCTCCTTCCGAGGCTCGCTTCCGGTTTTTCTGAACAATTTGCGGTTTTTCTGCTGATTTTCGTCCGATCTCATTCGCATTTCGTTCATACCTCCAGTGACGTCGCGCCGTACGTGATCCTCGCCGATTTCTCAGATCGTAATATCGACGAGTCGTTCTATATCCCAGAAACGGAAAATAATGTTTATCTGCCTCTACCTTGACATTTTTTGCTTCCTTCGTTGTCCGTCGTAAGTGTCACGCGTGGCACGCGCGAAACCGCACGCGGTTGCTCCGTTACGCTCGTTCTTCTGCTCGCTTTCCTCCTCCTCTCGGGTTTTCCTTCCTTCTTTCCTTCCTTCCATTCGTCCATCCCTTCCGACGAAATCGTACTTCTTCCTAGATCGTTCGACGCGCGACCGTCCGTCCGTCAACAACGTGACCGCGTTCCCATGCTGTCCGTCCTGCCCGACGCTTAACTCGATAGATCGATAGCCCTGTGCGGCGATCGCGAATTATCCGGGCGCACGTCGAAATTCAAAAACGCATACGTAAGGAAGAAACGGCGCCGTTAAACGGGAATCGTGGGCCGACGTCGATCCTGGATCAGTAGTTTGGCCGAGAATGATTGTCCGCCACGATGAAGCAGCACTAGTGGCCGAGTGTAGGGGACTTTTTCGCGAACTTGTGAAGTGCGCACTTTTTTGCGAGGTGGCGTTGTGCAGATAAAACGCAGAGCGTTTCAATTCGATTCATTGTTACGGTCATTAGCTTACGCGGCATGACGAGTGATAGGTGTGCTTTCGCGATAACGCATCTACTTTCTTCGAACTGTGATTACATTCTGGATAGTGTGGTGGTGAATGTGCCTTAGAAATACCGATACCGATTAACAACCGTTTAGCCGCGATCGCTGGGAAAAAGGTAGCGTATTATGTTGACCGATCCTTCAGTCCATGACATTTCGGCCGTTCGCTGATTCGTTCGCTTTGAATTTTCATCACCAATTCCGCCGATGACATTTGAAGACAGTGTCTGCTCGCGCCAAGTCGATCGCGTATATAATTTTCGAAAAGAGATTTGTAACTCGCTCGTTATTTCTCACTTTCTTATTAGCCACGCTCCGCGGACAATTGCATGTTTGGTAAATACGACAAATAAATTTCATTCTTGATTATCCTCGACTAGAATCGACGTCAATCCACAGCCGAATTCTATTATCAAAACGTTGCCGAGGATTTTCACGGGACTGGCGAAACTTATCTCGAATTCGTCACACATAAATTTAGCAACGCGCGATAGCAAACTAAAAAAGTCTGAAAACAGTTTCCGAATCGCACCGTGGAGCAGCTTATGATAAAAAGTGTATCTACGAGAAAAAGATTTCTTTCTTTTTTCCTCGTACTTTGGCAGCCGATAACAACTTGGACGTATCCAAAATATTGCGGCACAGCGTATCGTTTAACGTTCGATCTTTGTTTAGTTTCTCTTGACTGCTGCCGTTAGCAAATTAATTACTACATATTTATCCGAAACGGTTAGCGTAAAAATACCTTTCGAAACAAACGATACGATTTATCAACGGAAACGTTATAAAATAGTACGCGTACAGTATGTCCATGCCTCTCCTCCTTATCGTAATAAACGCGTTATAGAATACAAAAAAACAGTCATTAATTCCATATTGTATCGACGCTTTCGTCGTGGCATGCACCGCACACATACGAACGTGAGCAACGAGCACTGTAAATTTGTTTTAAGATCGTTTTTTTTATCATTTTGCTAAGATAACACTATCAGCATACATTTAATGCTTGCGCTTTTATAAGTGGCGGAGAGAATTATTTAATCGTATGTTCTGGCTTCACTCCAGCCTGGCGACCTAATTTTCTTGTATGGTGCAAATAAAAAGTAGCGTAATCCATCGTTTCTATTTTTACGCGTCATGCACTCTTTAATTCTTATTCTTCGTCTACTCTCGACATCGTTCGGACGATACGTACATCTTCCTTCCTCCCTTCTTTTTTTTCTGTTCCATTCGTCCAGTGAAAAAATGAGTCGATGATCTACATTCGCGTTTACGCGTCAGACTCGCGAAGATCGTTTCAAGCTTTCGAAACGCTACCGACTAGCGACCAGTCCGCCGCGGATCTAGATGCCACGTAAAAATACCGCAAACTCCGAAGAGTCGTTTTGCAGCACGCACACGCATACGCACACGGGAACGCTTTGCCCGTACGTTCGTCCCGTATTTTTATTCCGTCGGAATTAATAACATGTGTTCCGTGCACGACACACCTCTGGTTCGTCTCGTCCTCCAACGAATCCGCGCACATTAATTCACGAGTTATATAAGTTTTCGTGGCTCCAGGAGAGTGGAAGCAAATTAACATCTGTTCTAATGCCACACCTACGGTAAACACGCCGGTTAAATACACCGGTAGATACCGAAATATTATATAATCTTCGCCCGTCTCTTCAATGGTCAGACGAAATTCCTCCTGCTTCTTCTGATCCTCGCCCTCGGATCGTATCAACTACTCGATGGGTCGGTTAGGTCGTAACGAGATGCTCGTTGCAAGCGTGTTGCAATCATACTTTTTTTTTATTTGGAACGTCGGTTATAAAAAAATTATCAGGTTTCGAGCTTATCTCGCGGTCTATCGTGCAACTAGAAAATTTCGGCCGGATGTACATACACAGGTACGCGTTTGCGAAAGGCGTGAGCGCGCGCGCGCGCATAATGCCGATCGAACCGGCATCTCTTTCGTTTAAAGCGTTTCTTGGTTGGTCGTCAACTGGCGAAGCATGATATTTTATTAGACGACGAGACGCAAGCGCGTCGTGCTTTCATCGGTTTAAACAGCGTTGCATTATTTTCTGATTGTAGGTGAATAGATATAACGATGGTAGATACGCAACACTTTTGTCTGCGATGGAACAATTACCAAAGCAGTATAACGTCGGCGTTTGAAAACTTGAGGGACGATGAAGATTTCGTGGACGTCACACTGGCCTGCGATGGCAAAAGCCTCAAAGCGCACCGCGTCGTACTCTCCGCGTGCAGTCCCTACTTTAGAGAATTGCTCAAGGTAAGACAGAAAACATCCCTGCCTACTATTCCTTTGGCTTCGCGACCGCATTCGCTTCCCGCGCCCTGCTATCGTATCGCTCAACGTCGAACCCTCCTCGATTTGGTTGATCCATCGAGTGCAACGTCAATGTTTAACCAATACGAGAACGTGTCTCTTCTTTTCCTCCTTTGCATCCCCTGTTGCAGAGCACACCGTGTAAACACCCGGTGATAGTACTTCAAGACGTGGCGTTCAGCGACTTGCACGCTTTGGTAGAGTTCATCTATCACGGGGAAGTGAACGTGCATCAGCGTTCCCTTAGCAGTTTTTTGAAGACCGCCGAAGTCCTCAGGGTATCGGGGCTTACGCAACAGGCAGATCAAACAGACAGGGACGAGGTAAGCGTCCATTGCCACATGACTATCACCGTTTACCCTCATCCTTTTCAATTGCCGTACGACGGAACAGACCGGACTATATTTAATAATCGAGTAAATTGATTATGCTTTGCATGTTATCTCTGATAGAGACGTGACTTTTAACTAACGAGACATCTTATCTTGCACAATGTATGCCCATCTTGATTCCAGTCCATAATTGTCATAGGTCAAGCAAACAAAGATAATCAACTTTATTACATACAGAACACGATCCAATCGCAATCACAATTTCGAGGACATACTTGAATTATCCAAATTCTTTTTTTGTTAAATGACTGTCCTTGCATTTTAGATGATCCTATTACCCCTTTGTTTAATTATATTATAGTTGTCCCATGTGCGCGCGTTGGCTGCCGGTGGCAATCATGTTCCCTTCCACGAAAAATTGGACGAAAGCTTTCCCCGGGGTGGTTCCCCGCCCACGCCAGTAACTCCGACGCCGACGACTGTGCAACAATTGCTGCGTAGAGCGCAGATACGTAGGAACGAGAGACGAACGCCCGATCCGCACGATGAATCGGTGAAGAAGGCGAGGGTCCCGTCGCCACCGTTGAACAACAACGATGCGACGCCTACGGACTTTTCGATGGTGAAGAATCATCTGTCGAGCAAGGTTGAGGGAAACGGCGTCCACGAGGAGAAATGTCCCCTGGAAGACAATATCAAGTGCGAGCCGTTGGAACTGACAGGCGGTAACAGTGGCAATGGTGGCAACAACGAGGACTCGTCGGATTCTGGGCAAGCGGCGTCCGATCGGCCACCGGCATCGGCGAGCAGTAATGAGCACGAGGCCGAGTCCGAGCACACGTCCACACCGAATTTTTTGTCCGAGGCGAAGATGTACTCGCACACGCCTGGGAGCTTTAACTTCAGTATGGCTGCGCTCGCTGGCGATCATACACCGTTGTCAGGTACGTCAATCAGTTAAGCTCACACTAGGCCTGTACGCATTGACCAATTTTTCATCGCCTATCTCGTCGCGTTTCTGAGTACAGTTTGTTTGATTTTCTTTTTCAAATCCTTTCTTGTGGCTATTGTCATTTTTTTAAGTTTTGAAGAATGTAAGGTAGAATTAAATCGTACGATTTTTAGTTAATCACTGATCTGCAATTTTATTATTCTTGCCTTTTTAAGTAATTTATTTCGAAAATTATTGTAGGAAATTTTTTGTCGGCTCTGTCGTAATTGCGAAGTTGCGTACAGGCCGTCGTATTGTTGTCCGCCGCGAGAGAATATTCTTTGCTACGTGTAACGATAGTGAAATTTCCAGGATTGGGCCACGGGTTGCAACCACCGGACTTGGCAGGAACTTCGCAAGGTAAGAATATTCATTATTTAGCTCTGTCCTGTAAGATCGTTAGAATCGACGTTCCAGAATTCGCGAAAATACAATTGGTGATTCTTTTTTATTTTTTTACGACAACCGACATGATCGCTCTGTAAATGAATCGCGTACATTGAATGGTTGGACTCTGGACCTTTGATCTCTATTGATTTTTCAAAGGGCACTTCTATGCTGTTCCATTATTTTTCACCGACAGTCGATACATCGTGGCCGCAATTGTCTGCGGTGTAGCGGTTCGCTCTAATAAAAAGTAACTAAACAGACTTGTGCAGTTATATCAAACACTAACAAATCACGAGTGACAAGAATGAATATACATATCTATATAGTCATTTATATATATATACATATATTTTTTATTTGGTTGCGGTGAAAGAGCACTACTGTCTGCTTGGACGAATTAAAACTTCTTCTAATTGGCATGCGTTAAAAAGATCATTCGATATCATCATCCCTTTGAGTGGTACCATTTACCGAATCGCTTTACATTCGCATCTCATGATGTCATATATTCGTTTCCGCGATTATCAACGAATTCTCGACGTTAGAACGGATTTATCTGCTGACCCATTTCGCGTTCCTCCGTGTCGCGGTCCTTTAGCTTCTTTTCTTCTAAAAGTTCCAGATTCGCGTAGAGAATCCTGGGCTTCGTTCGATCCGCGCGCCTCTATTTATCGTATCTCAAAACGGATGACAGCAAATCTCTTTAAATTGTTTACGATGTTTGTTCTTTGTACGTCGAGGTTGGAACAACGAAAACACATCGCGGAATAGTCGGGGCCGGATCAATATAATTCATAGAGCCCTCGAGAGACGTTCTCCAGTGATTGTGCGGCCGAGAAGTAAAGAACGGACAACAGCAGATACACTCGTTTTTTCTAGTCCACGAATTCGTTGCGCGATCATTTCTAATTGGCACAAAACGATGAAAAGAGAAACATTACTTGTTTGACATCACTGTACAAAGTATCCGCCGCAATCTCTACCGTGTTTAATTAAAAACGAGAAAAATGAATAACTAGAACGAGAAGTCTCCCCTAAGCGACATAGTGAAAGAAAGCAATGAAAAAACAAATCAACACATATACGGAAGAAGTTGAGTAAAGTACTGATGCAGAGACAGATTGTTCTCTTTGTGTGTGTATACCCACACCCAATTGCATTTCTCTAAGAAGCTCGCCAATTTCTAATGTTATTACCGAATTTATTACCGCTTTGAGTTTTCGTAAATCGCGTCAAGCGTCGTTTTATCAACGAGCTATCGTCCATATCATCTATACGTGCCGTGCTCGTATTGTCCGATTTCAGTTTTGTATTAGTGTTGTCGTCCCATTATTGTGATTTGGTAACAGAATATACTGCCGCAATATCGTCGATACCAGAGCATTATGACATTGCTTATAATTTTGCAGTTACCGAATACTACACCTTAAACATGTATATATATATACATGCATAAGTATTTATATCTTTTTTGCATACGTATGTTTACGTATTGCGTACATTCGTGTACATATAGTTACCTAAATTAGTCTACAGATTGTACGTTTCTTTTATTACATACATTTTCCGGTTACATCGTTATTAATATTATTGTTATTGTCAATCGCGAAATGTTTCGTCACGGGACACTTTACAGCCTGCTCGTTACCAATTATGAAAGAGGATGTGATAGGTCGGCCAACTTTTGTCACACTCTTTTATGTTATTCGAGCGACATTTGACCCTGGCGTGTGTAGACCATATGGTAACGTTGTTACGGTATGTACATACATACATGCATACGTATCTCCCAGACTTATTGGTCGATTTCGTTTCACTTGCTCGTACGAGGCTCTCCCTTTGCTGCACGTCACGCTCCTATGCCGTGCATATTCGGGGGTCGCGCAGTACGCACTCCAGGGCGGGGATTAACAGTAAATTCGCTTAATGATAGCAAACGGTTTTAGCAATCTGACTTTTACTGAGGGAGTGCAAGAGCTGATTTGGTTTCTACGCTCGAGACGTTTCCCGCGAGGGTATGCAACAAGATAACATTATTTTTATTTTTAATATTCTGATGCAATGATGAGAAGACTTTAAGGATATAATAATTAAAATCCTATACGGTCCTGAAATTTTTACGAACGCGAGGCGATTTTGCGATTTTTACTATCATTAATATTGCAGAGTTCAACGAGGCGCGCTGAGTAAAAAAAGAGAGTATTCGAAAGAAAAGTTCGCAGACTGTGGAAACATTATTTTCGGACACGCGAATCATCGAGGGGAAATGGAAAAAAAAAGTTTAACAAACGCGTTGTGGCAGTTTCGTTAAGTAAATTCAGGTGCGGCTTCGGCCGCGTTTTCGATTAATATTATATTTGAACGACTGGCTTATACTAGGTTAGTACTGAAAAAGTTATCAGGGGCCGTCGATAAGGCCGCAGATGTTATCCCCGAAATTCAAGGTCCCTCTATCTCCGGCGAACGTGGCCAACTAAACATTGGCCTAACTAAAAATACGACGACCTTGGTACGCCACTCACGTTCTTGCCACGGACTGCGAATCATTAGACACATTAAATTATACGCGGCTGACTCGCGAGAACCGTTCGACCCGCAGCTTAACCGACCGGTCGACGCATGTATATTCTCTCCCTCGACTTCTCTCTCTTCGCTTGTCTTTATTTCCCAAAAATCGTTCTTCCCCACTCTCTTTGTCTTTGTACTTACGCATCGCGATTCTCTTCGTTCCCCGAGACAATAAAACGTACTGACGACCAGGCCAGAGGACGTTGCGGCGTTTCGACGCAAAAATAGACGGGTTGTATGAACGCGCTGTTAAAAACGATGTACCGCACTCGGCAATCTCTCGCACCCGGCAGTGAGAATTTCTCCCATTGAAAATTTTAACCCATTACACACCTTTGTTAATCGATCATTTGCGGTGGAACAGTGCGAATAGCCATGTTTGCTTCTCGCGTTTTTATCGCAGCTAATTGTAAGGCTCGCTCGCTAACCTTGGCTATCTATCGCGTTGTTCGTCTGCAACGAACGATCTTTTTATCCGAACGCATTGCAATGACGCCGATGCGTGATTTTTGGCAAGGTTGCAGGGTCGTCGGTCCCGCGAAACTTTCCATCTCTCTCTCTCTCTCTCTCTCTCTCTCTCTCTCTCCAGTTTTCGTTTTGTTAACGACGACAACAACCTAACACCTATGCGCTCGCCGAGTTAAATTTAAACTTAACCAGAAATCGTGTATAGAATTTAAAAATTTTTTTCTATCGTTTTTTGCTTCTTAACAGAGATAACAATAAAGTTGTTTCATGTCGATTAACGATAGTGCTAATAGTGGCGATTTTATCAGGACTTATCGCGAAGAAAAAGAGCAAAGTCTAAAAGTTTCATAGATCGGACAATTTGAAACGCGTGTTATCATCTCGGTATGTTGATGATAAAGTGAAATTTTATTCCCCGTTCGGCTCGTTCTTTAATCGTCTTTAATTCTTAATGGGCGGTTACGTAAAAAACAAGCTGGTACCAGATAGAAAGTACAACGTACGACCACTTGTCGCGCGATCAGGCTTATAGTAGACCAAGAGCTTCTTTGTTACTCTCTCTTTCTCGCCTCGCCGTTACTTACTCGCTCGGTTAAAGATCTTTTTATTCCGGCAGAAAGCCGGCTGCGAGCATATGGCAGTGTTTCTGTGTTCCTAAGCAGATTCGTTGCCAGGTCGAACATTTTTTTTTCGACTTCGAAACGAAAATTAACTAAAATCCTGCATTACCGTGCCTGCTATATCGCGACGCATTACTTAGGAATGCACGGTTTTGTAGAACGACCGGAGGAAATCGCTTGAAACAATGGAAATTATACGATTGATCACCTTTTGAACTTCGGTCTGCTTTTTCTTTACGCCCCGAAACGGTGAATTTTGGGCGTAAGATTTTAAATTAAAATAATTGCACAGACGGTACGGCCAAAGTTCGTTTTCTAACGTGCGCGATCGTGCTCGATTTTCGACGCGACATTTAACGCGCGCGTTTCTTCGATGAGCGTCGAGGTCGCGCTGTTTATTGAACGTATGGTCAAGAAAAGTTTTGCATAGAGCCGACATACCCGGAGAAAGATGCGTTTATCGCGGTCTAATTTTAAATCTATTCATTCTGCTTGATTCTCTGCGTACTCGCGCGAGCGCGTGTCTACACCCGTGTTCTTCAACGTTTTTCCACGTCATTACAACAAACAGAAGAGAAATTCTTTCCCTGAGATTAGATATTCTTAGACCGTTCGCGAAATTGTTTAAAAAATCCGATGCGTCTCGCTGCTAGTAACGGGACCGTCCCGGTCACGGTCCCGTCACTCCAAAAAACGATTCTCCGTTCTTCCTCTCTCTCACCCTTCTCTCGTTCTCTCTGTTTCACCCTCTTTTTTTTTCATCCTTTATTTCCCCCTCGTTTTCTGCTCTTTTCCGCGAACGCCTGCATCCGCGGTAAAACCTGTTGTAAAACGCAGCCGCATAAAAATAGCGGGTGCCGAGCTCCAGAGTCGAGTACTTTATTCTCTTTCTCTGTCTCTTTGTATCAGAGGACGCGTTGCAGTTCATCGAGCAAATATTTATTTCACGAGACGTTCCCAGTGCCGGACTTACCACGCGCCCGCGTCCGATTAGTGCTTTCTTCTTCTACTCTTTCATCGTATAATTAGTGATTTTTCTTCACTCGATGACTGATCGAATTCCTCGTACGAAGTGGTTCGCTCTGGATTCGGTTTCGGTAACTCGCGGTGTGAATCCGTGCAGGATTTTCGTTTTCCTTTTCCTATACATCATTTATTTCCTCTGTCTACTGAGAATGATCACCGCAGTAGTAGATAGAGGCTCAAGGACAAAGGCGTTCTACGGTCGGGCGTTCAGAGACGCTAGTGGCATAGGAAAGAAATTTGGAATTACGTAATGATTGCTAATGGCCCGCTCGCGAAGCGCGGAATTCATGCTGCCATCTGTCGACGTTGCCGATTTCGACGGTGCGCGAAAGTGTCTACTGCTTTCTTGCTTACGTGACGTCCGCGAGTCTTCCTTGCATACGCGTCTATTTACTCGTTACTTACTCATCTCCCGTCCGTTCTCTCTTTCTCTTTCCCATCTCCGTTCGTCTCTCGGTTCAGTTTCGGTAATCAACGATCCTCGCTCGTTGGCAATTTAACTCTTTCGGGCGTGCGCGCCGCGATGCGGCGCCGCCGCCGCCTCCCAAGGCCAAACGAAAGTTCGCTTCTGAATCAAATTCGACGGAATTTTTTATCTGTAGTATGTATTTATCGGGGACGCCCAGGTCTAGCTGCTTGTTTTCGCCTTGTGCTATTATCGATGATGAACTTGAGGTGACCTCGAAACTGCGTAACAGTGAGAGAGCGTGAGAGCGACAGAGACGAGAGACGTGTCGAGGAACGAGAGAAAAAGTTAGAGGGGAGCTAGTAACAGACGCGGGAGGGGCAGGAGAACCAGAAAGAGAGCGAGAAAGAGGGGGCGTCTACACTTTCGCTCTATATCATTTGCCTTCGTGGATCGCGATTCCTTTTTTTTTTTTTTTTGCAACTTTCCAAAACGGCTGCGATACGCTCCTACCGACGAATTTCTCCGTTCCCTTCATCCGAAAACTGGACACATCTCGAGTGCATCTCTAAGCGTTTCTCTTGGATCGTGCAAATGCGAACGGGTTATGTAAGAGGAGAGATGAAGAAACCGGTTACCGAAGTCGAGGACGAATTTTCACCTGCGCGTTTTCGCGATGAGAATCGAGAATTTCGCGAACCTCAAGTCACGAGGCGTCACAATCTTTGAATACGAGGTCGCAAGATTGTTCGAGGCAAGGTGAAGGTCTGCTTGCTCGCGGTGCTTAATTTATTGAAACGCTTTAGTCTCGAGGTCCGCCGCGAGTCTACAACAGCGCGCGAGCACGTTACCCGTGAAGATATTGCATCTTCTATCTTCTTATCGGTACCGATTAACGTTTCGCACAATGCTGTCATTCGCCGTTATACTGGCAACGTTCGAAACCTCTGCATACCTAATGACTTCTCCTCAATGTCTTTCGGCAAACACAAATTTTCTAAGGTCTCTTATCTTCGGATGTAGAATCTGTTCCCTTCTTGGTGACCTAATACGATCTAACATCCCAGGGAACTTATCGTTTGATCGGAGTGATTTCGCGAAACGCGCAACCGCATCGAATGAGATGAGGTCCGCGGTCGAAGGGAGGGTAGTTCTTCCTGGCGTCCTCCTTACTTCGCAATTCCCCATCTTCCGTCCCCACCACTGTCCACGTAACTCTTTCAAAAGTTCGTAAGACTCGCGTAACCAATCCGGAAGCTACTTAGATTTTTCTCTCCCCGCCGATCCCTCGGCCCTATCCTCCTCCGCCTTTCTCTCACTCCACTTTTACATCCCCTTGGCCCTCCCTTAGTCGTATTACTCTTTCTCTCTGTCTCTCTCTCTCTCTCTCTCTCTCCGAGTTTCGTAGTAGTCGCACGGTGGTAGCGAGCTATCGATCGCCGTGGCTCTCCGCGCTTAGAGTCAACATCAGTCATAATACAGCGCAACGGCATACGGGGGTTATTAAGAATAATACGCATCCTAGGTATATATCCCCTTCCCGGCACCACGGAAAAATGGGGGAAGGAGAGCGTGGTTCGTGGGGGTTCCGTTGCTAGGGTAACCGGCTGGGTAAAATCCCGCAAAGAAGAAGCATCGTCCGTTATGTTCCCTGCTCTTGCTCTTACTCCTGTTACGACCGCTGCTCTCTCGTTGTATCGACATCTCATCTTCGCGGACGTTATACTGGCTTTTATGAGACGACGAATGTACACTCGCCCTACCTTGCTCAGCTCCCCGTGCTAGCCCACCTTTCAACCCTCCTCCTCCTTCTTTTACTCTCTGCTGCTCTGCCTTTCTCTCGCTCCTTCTCCTTTCTCCTTTAATGTCCCGGCCCTCTTCGTCCTCGCGACGCTTACGATTCTCCTCCACGAGACTCTTTAACCGGGGGACGATTAATAGCATCCGTACCCGTTTATGTCGAAAAGCCAGCAGCTTTCTTTTTTTTTTTTTTTCGAATCCTCCTTCATTTTGTCTTGTACTCGTGTGTGTCACGTGCGCGTCCGCCGCCCGCCCCTACGCCGTACCGTGGTCGTGCGAAGCGTTTCCTTCACACACAAAATCGTTGTTGGTAATCACGCCACGCGAACAGATCCCGGTTGACATCTCGATGGACTCAGCCCCCTCCTCTTTGGTTGCAGACCGGGAGGTCGCCGAGGAGGACGGGGGTTGGCAGTCCGCTACCAACGGAGACAGTCAACGACAAACCGGTCAATCGAGCCAAAGTACGGGCGCTAGTCAGTGCGAGGTGGTGCAGGGACACCAGGAGCTGCCCATAATCGATCTCTTAGAGGACATTAACGATCAGATGCAGATCGTGCTCAAATCGGAACCTTTGTCACCGAAGATAGACGAGCTCGAGTCCTGCCTACTCTCTGAGCAGATCGATCTGCAATCGGATCGTGCCAGTGCGGCGAACAATCTTGACGGTGTTCAGGCGCGACAGCAGAACGGTCACAACCACAATGTTAATACCAGGCAACAGCAACAACCGCTGAGGACGCTCTTTAATGATACCGTCCCATTCGCCGATCTACGTTGGTTAACGCAGAACGGCAATGCTCTACCAGCGTCTAAGCATCGTGACTCATCCACCAGGACGTCGCAACACGCCGAGCAAGAACTGAAGCATTCGAACCGCTCGATCAGCGGCACTTACTGTAGCTTTTGTCAGAAGACTTTCTCCCGCGCTTGGTCCCTTCAGAGGCACTTGGCGGACACGCACTTTTACGTGCCGCAGTCATTGTCCTGCGACCAGTGCGGTAGGAGCTACAAGTCCAGGAACAGCCTGGTCAGTCATAAGAGTCAGTATCACGCGAGGAAAGAACGGAAGGAACATGAGGAACATTGCGAGGTCACGTATTGACCCACGGCGCCTACGGTTTAGTGACCGAATTCGCATCCGGGTTTCCATGTTGCCCCGATCTCTCGCGTGTACGACGAGACATATGAGCGAGATAACCAACAGTAGGGAACGTAACCCGTTCAGTTCCATTAGCTGTCACTTTCCGGCATGAGAAAGCAAAGAGATACGGAATCTGCTGTTAGCTAATTTTTTATAATATATCGTTGCGTAGAGAGGAAATAAAGTACCGATTACATCTCATTAATAAAAATTATCCTAGTCGTTCGGTCGTAAGACGAAGTTACCTCGATTCATGCCAAAGAGTGCGCCGGGTTGACCTACGTGTATACATACATACGCATTCATGCTCGAAGATCGCGTAATCGTTTCCTCGCTTCTCGCTAGTCGATGAAGTAACGTTTCGTACCCAAACCGTACACTCCCGTTCCGGAAATGAGTTCCGCCATCTGGACTAGTTCTGTGCCAAGTTCATGGTACCGGATAACGTGTCTTTCCGCGACAAAATCGATACCAGCCTCCTGCGGTACGACTGTGCTCTTCCTCATCAACCCCTGAAAGTGCCAACCAGGGGTAGTTCACCCCGCGTTCATCGCCGACGATAAAGTCAGCTTCGTACCTTCTTTTGGTGGTGTACCTATCGATGGATACGTCGCGGGTACGCGGTACGGATCGAAGTGGAACGCAAATCGCGGAGTGATCCAAATTTTTGTCGACAGAGTTCTTTTCGCTGTCGAAACCGGGTGATGGTATCGCGCGAAGCGAGCTCGATCAAAGACAAATCTATTTATTGGTTTAAAACCCATCTGTTTCTCTAGGTTTGGAAAAAATAATGTTACGCTTCTTCGATGCGGTTTCTATACTCGTTCTTTTTCTGTTAATCGTTACGTTTACCGTTCCGTCCGTCACCCTTCGCGTCTCTGCGCATTTCTCATGTTCGGATCGCATTCTGCCGATCGCAATTGTTCTTTTTCTATACGCTTCGCTGACGTAACAAAGTCGCCAGTCTGGTGCATTACTATTCATAAAAAGAATACGTTTAAATAGTGAAAGATAATTTATTGCTAGTATAGCGTGAATGTTGTTATATAAGACACAAGTGGAACGTAAAATTGTCGCTAGCGTAACGTGGATGTCGTTATAAACGAATTATAGACGATTTAGAAAATAAAAAGAGGTTTCGATGGATTGAAATTATTGTTGTTTCACTGAAATATAATGTCACCAACCCGAGTTGGTCGAGTGGAACTCGACTCCTGATAGGCGATTCTCCTTCCGCGAAGCATACCGTTACGTTGAAATGAAACGAAGACCAATAAAACCGACTGCTCGCTTCATCGCATCATCCCAGTTAGAAACAACTATCACACTTCTTGTATATAGATATACACACACGTATTACGTACGAGATCTACTCTGCTCTGTCTTGCTGTAAATAATATGCATCGACATGGATACCATCTCTGGTGCTCTGAAAACACTAACGTCATCGCTCACGATCGTTCACTGGAATCTTGGAATTGCTTGCACTCTACTATTGTAATGCGCTAAAACAAACATAAAACAATAAAAAAAAAGGGCACAAGGATGAATCAGGAAAAAAAAGGGTACACGTTGCCTTCCGAGTTCGGACAAGAGTCTTCTGCGAATTTGCTGTCAAGCCATTGTCATCGTACTGCTGTTATTATTTGCATTAAGCACTTTGCGTAAATGTATTTTCAGTTACAAGTGAGGCTAAATTAATACATATTCGTTTCAGTCGTCGTGTAGTGTAGAATATTAAATACGATACGGAAGCAGCCGCATGGAGTTGGCAAGACGCGTCGAGTTTGCGAGTAGTCGAGTATTATGAATAGCTGACGAAGTAGAAAATGATGACAATGGTCAGACAGCGCGCGCGCGGAAGGCATTTTCCCTTGGAAAGCACTGGCGTCGCGCCGTGCCGTGTACACGTATAACAAACACAGGAAAAGCTGACAATGTGCGTACGATGAAGATGCTGTGGTAACGCCTGCAAGCATAATTGTACGTGGTTCCAAAGTAACGCAAATAAAAAAAAAAATAAAGACAGTTTGAGCACGGCTTGGTCGGGTGACGGTGCAACGTGTGCGCGAATAATCGAGGAGGGCGCACGAAATTTTCTCTTTCTCTCTCTCTCTCTCTCTCTCAGCTCGGAAAAAAGGTGGTAGATGGTGGTGTAAGAGTGAGAAAAAATAGAAAGTAAAAAAAAAAAACGATGAGAATATCGCGAGAGATGCGCGATATAGAGAGAGGACTCTAAGAGTGAACGCGGGAACGTGGTTTCCTCGTTCCGCGATTTACGCGTCCGACCTACATGCGTCCGAGCTGACGTTCGAGCACACACAAAAACCAAAAGTAACCCCTGTGTCTGGTTCTGCCGCCAGGTCAGTTGGCCGGCAGCGGCGCGTCCGATGAGTTTCGATGCGAGCCTTGCAACAAAATCCTGACCTCCCTAACGCGGTTGAGGCGGCACATACAGAACGTGCACACCAGGCCCAGCAAGGAACCGATCTGTAACATCTGCAAGCGGGTATACTCGAGCCTGAACAGCCTCCGGAACCACAAGAGCATCTATCATCGGCAACACAGCAAGAACGAGCAGCAACGGAAGGAGATGGAACAGATGCGTGAACGGGAGAGAGAGCAGAGAGAACACTCGGACAGAGTTAACTCTCAGCAGCAACAGCAACAGCAGCAGCAACCGCAACAGCAACACCAGGACCAGCAACAGTCGCGACTGGGATAAATTGCAACGATTTTTTGTGCAGGCCGCGATCGATCGTGAACGGTGCCGACTCTTTTTCCACGAGTACGGTGATCACAGTACACCATCGGCCGCGACAATCAACGTTCGATGGTTTACGTACACAAAGACACCCACACACATGCGTCGTGAACGAGTCGTTGAAGAATCTCTTTCCCGTACTGTTCGAATTTACATACGCTACTATGTACTACATCGATTTCACAGACAGTATCGTTCGGTTATTTAAACACGTCCCGTCTCTTTTATTCGAAATAGTTGCGTATTGTATAGGACTGTCGGATCTACGTGTGTTCCTTTGCTCGAAAACGCGGGTCACTAATTCGCATTTAACCCTGAAGAAGGTGGATCTATCACTCTGGAAGAAGTACTGTCTCTGAATTTGGACTGCGGAAAAGATCATGTGATAATAGGCGATACTGTTATTATAGTTTTTCATGTTTCCGTTCGAGCGGACAAATATCGGTTAAAGAAAAAAGAAATTTAAAAAGGTGAAAAAAGAAACGAAGCTAGACCTCGATATAGTTTAATTTTTCTACTAAGGTTACAAAGAGATATATATATATATATATATAGATATATATTATAAATATATGTATATGTTGCGTTGAATGTAAATAAGTAGGTGCTCCCTCCGGCTGAGCAAACCGATTCGGAACGTCAGGATTTATTTTTCGTGACTAAGTACACCCCTTACATAGAACGATCTTAATTAACTGTTCTACTGTGCGAGAGGAAAGAAATACGTTAAGTGCAAACGTTTCCTGTTGATTTTTTTCTTGTATTACTTAGTTTACGAAGGGTGGTTATCGGGAGTGGACGCCGCGGACTTTCGCGGCTGACACGACTTGTTAAAGGAAAATCGCAGTACAAAACACGTGAGAATAAACTATAAGCTAACGTACCTAAGTTAATGATCGCAATGCCCTCCGCTTTATCTTATGTGTAGAACGTTGACGAGGTACTAGACACGCGCGGTCACACGTCATCTTTCATCCCGTGTTTTCTCCCCCCTTTCTCCCCCACTCCAGACCGAGAATGAGAAAAGGAACTGGCCTGGAGAACGCAGCTACGAACGACCTTGTTCGCAATCCTTTTTTACCTTGTCTTCTTTCAAAACATAGAGAAGATCGACGGTGGAGACTTCGCGCGCGCGAAGGGTACCTTAAGGCGCAGCCAAAGGAAAATTACTTAAATACCGTAATCGTTGCGATGGGAAATGGTGCAATGAGCGAATACCGAAAACGCTTTTCCGTTCCTCGGATGCGCGTGTACCAGCGTATAATTTTCGGAAATCGGTTAACGATGCCAGAAATAACGAGGACACGATGCATACCAGCATCGCGTGCAACCGCGTTATCCGCCGCGTAGAACAATTTCATCGAGACAATCAACGTCGATTGCTAAATTAGCGGTCACAATTCGGCACGGCCGATTTCGATTGGTTCGACGGTTGCATCGTTCGCTCTACAATTTACCGTTAATTCTAATTTATTCTACGTTCGAGACGCCACTTTCATCGTCATTTTTTTATATATTTTTTCCGATCGCTGCTGCGAGAATTTGAACCTACAGTTACCTTTCGATACATAGTTATGATCATATTGATGCTAAAATTGAGGTAGCTTTCGTCCTCTTTCATTTAATAGTCGCATATTGTTCCAAGATTTTTTATTGCAAGCGTGAAATATTATCAAGGCGAAGATGAGCGTATCATTCTATGTTACATTCGAAACAGGACAACGTAGAACGCGCGTGCGTATTCCTGTTCCTGTAAATAATAAAGCCTTTCATATATGAATTCATCGATACGAACGTATTTATCCTAGTACTCGCGATCAGAAGTTTATAAATACGTAACGCACGCGCGCGCCTACATATATACCTACCGTACATACTCTGTTTTTCTGTTCTCTTCCCTTTTTTATCTCTGGCATCGTCATCGTCGTCTATTTTATTCTCCTCCCTTTTTTAATTATTCTATTAATCGTTCCTTATCGGGCTTTCGGGGATAGCGTGCATCGCTTATCGTATCCTTGTTTTTTCGTTCTACATTTACTATTCTTAAAATATATTGTCGATATTAGAACTAATCGATGATCGATCGTTTTTATTATTACTGCGTTACGATTATTATTATAATAATAATTATATTGATATTACTCATACAATTTTATCATGATTATTTATATGAAATAAAATGTTTCTTTTTTGTACGCTGAGAGAGAGCAGCCCCTGTTATTTTTCACATATACGATCCGTAATGTATTCTAGTATACCAAATCGGAGAAAGGTGCACGCGGGTAACATCGCGTCGCGTCGGAGTCGTGCCGCGCTCGTTAACCTTCGGTGCAACAATATTATGCAACCTCGGGTAGCTGTTCGCAGTTTCTTTTTGCTGTACAGTAAGCACATACTTACTGTTTGGCCGCGTTACACCTCGTTGCACTGCTTACGCTTCCGGCCGACCCACATACACGTATATATATCCCACCGTACACTGGTACAATACTGTGTGCTGCTACGCGAGCCCCAGACCCCGTGACATGTATATTCGACGCCCGAGGTGCCTCGTGTCCGTTCCCGAGTCAATGGGTGTACGTGTTCACGCTCGAAAGCGCCGAGGGTCAGACCTGTCGCGTGAATGCGCCGTTATGCGCGCCGTCTGTCTGTGTTTCGCCGTTACTTTCCCCTTTCTTTCGCCCCTCGAACGGAAGCTCGTCCGCGATTTCTACCGTGTTCGAGCTTTTGGCCCGAATCCCACGTTACCTGGTATCAAGCGACGTGACGAGTCGTAAAAAATCGGATTGTTCCTTTCACTTTCACCGTAGAACGATACACCGGAGCCTCCGTTACATTTCCTGTGTCGTTCCGTCGCGTTCCGTTTTCACTTCGTCGATTAGATTGCGCACACCGCTATTGAATTAAATAAGATAGGAAAATAAAGTAAAGGAAAGAAAATGGCTATGTTTAATGCAGCGGAGACCTCAGACTCCGTGACGGCTCAGGGCCGCGCAGGGACGTGCACGCGCATCAATGAGATACCGCGCCTCGAGATTCGTAGAGAATCCCGATTTTCCAGTGACGACGATCTGCCCGGTCGTCGCGCCTTCCGTTACCTATGAGTCAATGACAAACCAGAGCCCCGAGCCACCTTTCTCTCTGCGATCGGCACGAGATCACGCAAGAAAAAGGAGTACGAGTAATTTCGAGCGGCCGCGCGATACGTTCCCGTGGCCAGGGATGTTGATCGACCTCCCTTTTGAGAGAACTGCTGCCACCACGGGCAACGGCGGCCCCTCGAACACGAATCTGTATTCCCTTGTCACGTTCTCCAATCATGCAACATCTCGTAACCAACCCTGAACCGTACACATCTTTCCCTTATTACGCTTTCCTCACGCCGACGAATTCCTTGCATTTAGCCTCCCACCATTATTACCAAACGCACACTACCACACACGTAACCACCTTAATCATCTCAATACCCCCGGCCCTGCGCATTTGAAGATTACCATCAGCGTACATTAATCTTGTCCAGTGATATTAATGGCAGTCGTATCTTTGTTCTTGTTTGTTCCCGGTCCCGCTCGCTCGGCTATACGTTCGGCTCTGGTTCGTCATTGTTCTGTGTGTACCTACCCGCTACCTTCACGAACACGGATTTGCGCTGGGGGTCCATCCACACACGTGGCTCTCCGTGTGCCTCCTCCTACGCCACAAATATTGGTTCGTAACGGAAAAATATCTTTTCTCTTTAATTGGGTGTCGATATTTATAACGGACATTGGTGCTTGGTCTCTCTCTATATCACTATAATTATTTTTCTATCTCTCGTTGCTGTTAATTATTTCTATTGTTTCTTTTCTTTGATTCTGTCTATTTCTTTGCCTCGTCTGTTTTTTGCTAAAATCAAAATTTGTCTAATTCTTTCTCATTTCTCGCTGCTTTCTTACTTTTCATTTCCACCTGCCTCTAATGTATCTAACTCTTAAATCGTCTGTTCGTTTAACTTACTTACGTCTCACGGATCTTACTTTGAACTTATTTCCCTGTCCGCGCAAAAAAAAAAAAACGTTGAACAACGATTCAGCCGGGCCACCGGCGATACTCGCGATGAGATTGTCGCAGCATCCGTTGCACGGCAATCTACTGCCGCCCGGCGTGTGCTTTACCTGCGACGTTTGCGGTAAAACCCTTTCCACGAAGCTCACCCTCAAACGGCACAAAGAGCAGCAACACTTTCAGCCCCTGAACAGCGCGGTCTGCGCGCTCTGCCACAAGGTGTTCAGGACGCTAAACAGTCTGAACAATCACAAGAGCATCTACCATCGTAGGCAGAAATAGAGCAGGTTATCGTCGCGTTTGCTCGCATCGTGCCGAGGAACACTGTGAAAAAAAAAAAAGAAACGAGCTTAGTAGAAAAAGAGAGACAGACAGGCAAAAGAAGCGAGGAAAAGAAAAATGGTGTGCCAATGGATGACATAACTCCGTGGGACGAGAATCATCAACTTTTGTCGACAGCATGGCCGCTCGAGGGGATGATTGCGTTGTTCTTCTCAATTTTTCTTTCCTTTCCGTCGATTTTCAGAGTTATCGCGTTAGACGCGCAACCATCGTTGCAATTTGTTATAGTCCGTTTTGTTCGTCGCACGCGACGAGAGACCGTGCGATTATGGAATTGTTGTTAATTGTTAATTATTAATCGGTTGTGCGTGTTTGTTGGTTCGACGATTATACTCTGTTAACGTTTGCGATACATGGGACCAGTTGCATTAACGAGATCTCGCGACGATAGTTTTTAAAAATCGGGTTCGAGAAATTCGGGGAATGGGTGGGATATGGACGAAGCGATAGTAATGTAGTTCGGAAGTCCAAACGGCCGCTACGCGCGTACATGCTGTTCACAACGAGAAACGCGACTCGTTTTGTCGGTGGAATAAGTGCGGGAAGTAGGAACAACGTTCGTAGCGAGGGAAATATCGTGGAAATCAAAAGGAGGATTGGCTTATCGAGAAAACAAAATCAGTGCTTCCAGACGAACATGATGAACGTGGCGATCATTATTCTAATTGTAGTTGAACGTATCGACAAGTTCCGAACGTTGAACCACTACAAATATACCTACGCGTATCTAGAATCTGCGGAACGAGATTTTGTACAGTACGGCGATGCGTATAGCATACAAAACCTCGGAGGTCTGGCCTCTCTTGGTGTATAGCCGGGCTAACGTGTTATCAATTGTAAGGACTGAGCCATTTGCGTATTGAGATTGTCATGAATCGTAGAACGCGGCGATTCTTTTTGGTGTCGGTGTCGAGAACGTGGAGCTTAAGGGACTTTCTGACTGTGGCCTGACCGTTGCTTCACGATCGTGCATTCGCATCGACGAACTACCCTCATCGTACGTTCGGGTTCACCGTTGCGTTCTCCCTAGCCAATTTTACATTTTCTATTTCGTGAAATCTGGGAAAGTGAATGGGGAACGACGGCGCGTGGTAGGACAAAAATTTAGGGTAAATCGCATAGTTATTTTCATCTACTTTTATACCGCGTGTCTCTCCGGATCTTTCTACGACTCTTGTGCACATAAGACTCTCGAATCACTCGAGAGGGCACTCGAAGGGCCGATCGCACGACTGACAGAGGGTTTCGCGATTGAGGACGATGCTTGGACGTGCGTTGACGGTGACGGGGAAGATACGATTACTTCGAACCATCGTCGATTAGTCGAATGAACACGAATCGTCCGGTTTCGCGCGAGTGGACACCTCTATATCGATACACGGCTTAATCGCAGGCTATATAATAGTTAGATTTACGTATTGCAACTGAGAGTAGAACGGGAGAGAGCGAAAGAAAAAAAGAAGAAAAAAAAAAATACTTCCAGGTGTCGGAGACACCATCGTCCAACTTAACTTTTAGGCGGAAACGTCCGAAACGTTTCGACAAGACTGTAAAACGAAATATTGATTAACCAAGACTTGAGAATTTTTAATTGTTTCGATGTTGGGACTGCAGAGGAAGCGAATAATTACGGGGACCGGGGGGAGGGTTTAAGTGCACGTGAGCGAATCACGTAGGGGTTGGGGTACCTCTGTCGCGGATCGATAACGATCGCATGGTAATACGGCTGTAAAAAGTAAATAAGAGTAACGAAACATAAAATTACGTAGCAGAGTCAGGGTATCCGTAGTGGAGGGAAGAGAACTGTGCCCGGTTTCCTCCGAGACGGACTCGTTCTCGTTCCGCGACGAGCGATATGAGAAAGGCGATATACATACATACATTGATATAATATAATATATACATACATATATACATATATATATATATATATATATATTTTATCTTAATATATTCATTCCATGTTAAAATGCTTTAGAGGGATACCTTGCACACAGACACATATTCATTTAAATGGTGTATACCGGACTTTACGTAAAGTACCTTATCTTTTATTAAATGTTAGGTAATTATTTTTTACAATTACTGCGTAGGAACGATTACAGTTGCATCTCTGTTACATTTATTATGCCCTCATTATCGCAGTCGTTAGTATCGAACGATTATTTCTTTTCCTTTTCTACGTTGTTACTCGTTACCACCTCAAACGTCACTCATTTTCTTTTTCTTCTTCTTCTTTATCAGTTTTCATTTCGTCCCGTTTGTTCCTTCTGAATCGCGTGATCATCCCGCAGTTCACTGAACAAAATTTTTCGCGCCGTTCTCGAAAGTCTGACTTTTCTATACTATGCTCAAAAATGAAGGGCGAGAGAATGAAAAATGGGAGAGAAAAGCGCTCGCGGCCTTGGCACGTTGATTTGGCACGCAATTGATATTTTGCCACCTCTCCGATCCGTCGTGCCTACGTCGTCTATACTTTTCTACCGTATACGTTTCGCAGTTTTCTTTTATCCGTTCCACGTTATCGCGACGAGACGTGTATCAATGAACAGGGGGAGGGCGCTGACGACATCGTTTCGATGTAATAGAACGGTTTCGTAGTAGTAGAAGTCGCGTGATAAGTTAAGTTCTCCAGACTACTTCGGTTCATCTTCGGGCGGTTGAAAGGGGTAAAGAAATGAAAAAAAGACGAAACACGGTCCACTAACATTGACAGGTTACTTATATACTAAACGATAATAGCCATGTATACATATAACCAACTAAATAGCATATACCTATATTTTAGTAGAACTTTGATAAGCCGTCTCGCGAGGTCTTCCTGACGATAGCGACGTCGTCCACTTCTGATATCATCCTCACCTCTTCTTTTTCAAAGTTTTCAAGAAAAATTTCCAGGCCAGGAGAAACTAACAAACGAGCGCAGTGCTGACTTTTTAAATTACTACACCGTCTGAAACGATCGGACGCGCGTCAGGAAGGATTCGAGAGTCCTTGGACGATATACATATAGACAGACTAGGGTCCCGCCGTACGTCGGCATTTGTAGATCGGACGCAAAAGTAATTCGCACAGCATACATAGACACATACGAACATATTTTACAGCGTACCGTTCATTCTTTGCGAAGTTGCGCAAACAGTGAGGCTGAGGCTCGGCCTGACACACATAAATCACAGATACATACCTACCGACAAATACAAACACACAGGCTATACTTACCGCGATTGATACATGTTAACACGAATACACACTTGTACATCGTTAGATAGGCTATGATAATTTAAATTAGGTTATATTCCGTTAAGTGGTCCGCGTCGCCCGTATTTTCGAAGCGGTTTTCGCCATTTCCGTTTCTGTTTCGCGGTTAAATTAGGACCAGGGGAGGTGAAAACGTGGAGCTGTTCTAGCAAATTTTTCGTTATCGTTCGAGAATACGTTCGACGCCGAGCATTTTTCTTAAGGCAAATAAAAAGGAATAGGGGAAAGATTAAAAAAAAGGAACGATGTTAGATAAAATGTGGTGTTTTCTTTGTTCGGCTGGACATGAGGAAATGAGGAAGAACGAAGCTTTAAATTACGAGAGTAACGAGAACACGATTTTATAGTAGTCAGTACTCGAGAAAGAACTGATTATTGATAATATTTAAACTAGTAGATTTATTCAAAGAAATTGGTTTGTGACTACTGTAAAGAAAAAGAACAAACAAAAATGGCCAAATATAATTGCGGAATATATATTCGCCCTCCGATCCGCGGTCGGCGTTATATTACGAGAATAATAAATTATTAATGAAATTATAATATAAATTGAACGAATATTTAA